TGCGGCCATTCCTTCAACTGGCTCTGAGCGCGGCGGCGGCTATGGCTGTTCTTGTGTTTCAGATTTTGGTACCTAAACCCTTCTAGCTTCTTCTCCTCCTCCCCCGACTGGTTTTTAAATAAAGGAAGCTTCCAACCCACAGATCATCAGCGGCTTGATATCATCTCTGCAGTACCCAGTTTCAATACCTTCGTTCGATTTACCAAATACATCTTCCTTTCTTTGAGAACATTTATTCTTGAATCGTCTGACTTCTCAATTTCATCACTGAGCTTCTGTTCGGCAAACTTTACTACGATAAAACGTGTTATTCTCCGCCACAGCCCCAGCTACAGGCTTGTCGATATCCACTTGCATCATTTAACCATACGATACATATCCCTACCACACAATGTGCACCCAAAGGAAAAAGAACTGCGTTTGTAGCCATCTCAAACGTGTTGGAGGTGTACGACTTTGTGAGAATGCTCCTGTTGTCAACGGCCGGAGAGTTCCATGCGATGTTCGCACAACCTATAACGTCCCACCCCACCATTCCGCCTACCCCCCCATTCCGGCCACCTCGCTTATATTCCGTATTTCCTATTTAACACTTAATAACTCTACATTACGTTATCTATTTAATTAGATATTATAGAATATAATTCTCCTTATTATTCCGGTTCTATAAGTACAATTTAGTGTTCTCTAGCTATAATTTAAGCTTCTCTAATAGCACGTGTTATAATAAACTTAGAATTCGGGCTTATTTGAACCTTCCTCTTTTTCCTTAGTCTTAATCGCTCTAATCGTACCTCTAACTCTTTAATCCTTATATTTACTTACCCTAATTTATAGTCCTTCTTATTAAATCCTTTTAAAACCTTCTTAAAAAGTAAACGACGTGTTAAAAGTTAGTTATATAACCTAGCTATTAAGAAGTATAGTTATAAGTAGATCTCTTTTCTAGCCTTTAGAGTCTGTATCTTAATTAATATACTAGAAACCTTTATAAGTAGTACTAGCGTATCTTAAGGCCTTAGAGAAGTTAGATCTATTAATTTATTACTATTTTCTAATAGTAAAGGGCTTATTAATAGCTTTATAACTAATACTAGCTATAACCTTATAGTTCTCTACTTAGCCTTAATATTAGATAAGGTAAAACTCTCTTACTATACCTTATAGTAGTATATAAGGAAATTACGCTTACTAATTAGAGCAGAATCGATTAGAGAACTTAACTTTTAAAGTTCTTTCTAGTAGGAACGTTTAAGAATAGAGAAAACTATTAGATTAAGAGGTTATAGAACGTGTAATATATATACAAGTAAGAACAGAAAGTAGATATTATTTTTAAGGTATTTCTAAAGGAATTCCGTAGTTTTATAACCCTTATAGCTATCTAGAATAAGAAGCCTTACTAAATCGTCACGTAATTATATTTAAAGGATAAAGACCTTCTCTAGCTACTTAAGAGCTATAGTATTAGTTATCTACCTATTTTCAGTAGTAGTAAAGTACTACTAATTAAATAAGTCTAATTAAGACGGAAACCACTGTTATTAAACTAATTTTCCCTTATATATTACAGCTAAGTATATAGAACCACCTATTATAGATATACACTTGATAATTAACGTCTAAACACGTGTACCTAGCTATTTCCCTTATATCTTATAAGTTTCAGCACTTCTTATAATAAGTCTATTAAGACTATAGCCTTCTATAACACCTGTTTCGTCTATATTCTATTATTAGTAAGCTAGAATCGCTTTAATAGCCGGAATCTCTAGTTCTTAGAACTATAGCTATATAACTTCGGAATAAGCGTAATTAATACGTACGAAATCAACGTATATTTGCTTCTTAGTCTTTAGAATAAGGTTACGTGCTAGAAATCGAGTTATCTAGTATTTCCTAAGTAGTTAGTAGTCTCCTTATAAAGCTAGAAGCCTCTCTCTAAAAACCTGAATCTATATATATATAACTCTATAGCTAAGAGACTCTTAAGTAAGAACCTAATTAGTTAAACGATTCTCTACTACTATAGGGAGTCTTTATAAGTAACTTATAGCCTTCTTATATAATAGAGTCGTTGTGTTATAGTCACGAAGTATAAACCTTAGAACACCTTAGTTAAGTAATACCTTCTGTAAGGACTTACTATTTACTATATCCCTAAGTACATATATAACGTTATACTTAGTATATTAAGGCTTCATAATAAGATCAATTCATATTCCAAATATTAAAGAAATCTATTAAGGAATAATAGAATTAATAATTATTAAAGTAGGTAGGAAGAACTAGCGGTGAGTTAAGCGAGGTGGCCGGAATGGGGGGGTGAGCGGAATGGTGGGGTGGGACGTTACTTCTGGGAGCTCTGACCTCTGTGGATCGCGGACCTGTCGAATGACCCAAATGCATGGGAAGTGGACATGCTGCCAGTGCCGAACTCGTAACGAGATGCAGTTCTGGTGCAATAACGAGGACTGTGGCCATGGATTTTGCCGATACTGCACAGCGACTCCACAGCCACGCCGCCGTTGAAAGCATAGCACTCCAATGTCTTGGGTTATGCGTTACTATTGAGCACATTCCAGCAAAGAAGCGGAGGAGATAGACGAGGAAAGAGAAGGTGGGGTCACATTTCAGGAAGCCAGGACATTTCATGACAGGCGCAAGCTTTCCTTGGATTCTTTGGACCAGCGTTGCCTTATCTCGATTTTTGTTTGTACTTGGAGATGCCATGGCATGCTGTTAGTCATAGTTCACTTGTTTGATTTGCCTGTACTATTCGTCAATTCCCTGACTCAACTCATTTCATGCTGTAATTCTATCGGTCGTGCTTCAATGTACATGCCATTGTCTTGCTCTTGTAGCAGCACTGAAATACTTTACCCTGCAGGTTATCCCATTTAAGAACGTTGCCAATCCACCCATTCTCAGACCAATGAGTCTAGTTCCAGTGTTTAATTTCGTCATACAACCACAGATCCGGGTGGATAAATCGGCTTCATTGATATATTAAGTGCATGGTCTCGATCACTCATCCTCACGCTTAAGCATTCCATACCTAATTGTACATACATCCTGTCATCCTGTCATCCTGCCTGCTCTAGATTGATCCTGCTGCAGTTTTAGCCCTAATGATGCTTCTGATTTCCTTAAATTTAGTTTGCAACTGAACGTTTACTGGGAATTGATGCATCGAGGTACAGATATGGTGCTCCCCCCAACTGCCAATCGCTGCACACCTGAAGACCGCCATGGTGAGCGCTATCGTCGGTGGCGGCGAACTAAGTTTAAGCGAGCTTTACCAAAACACAACCTCACTCCACCCCATACATACCCTGGAAAGTGTGTTACCAGGTACCCCAGTGAAAGAATAGCGTATCAACAAGCGTGAAGATTCCTGAGATACTTCCATCCTCATTTTCGAACTTGGACTAACCGTATCTTCGTCGTCGCCAGGAGACCAACGAGGGATAGTGCCCGGACCGCTTTCAATGGAGATTGGCGGTCGCCTCGAACCATAAGAAATCAGGTGGAGACTGGTCGTGACATGAAATCATAGAAGAGATATAATGAAGATAGTTGATCGAAATAATGGAATGCAAAAGGGGGCCAGGGAGCTAGTAGTTAGCATGGGTCAATGACGGGTTTCGTCCGAAATGCACATCAGTGACCGACTTCAAGGAATACTCCCATGTAGCTTCACTTCATCGTGGAACTCACTGAAATTACGGACCATGTCTCTTGCAGGTGTCTATAACTGCTCAGGAAAAGAAATTCTTGGATTCTCGGACTTTTGAACTGCGTTCTGGACAGTTCCTTAAAATGAATGGGCATTCATTCCAGGAGCTCAGTTAGCTGTGTATGCCTTAGACTTTTCGCTACATTGCCGTGCATACCACATTATGAGTATCGATTCACAGTCGACCAGCACACCAGCTACGGTATCTTCGCAACACTCCTTCTTTTCGTGATTAATAGACTTTTGTGCATGTATTATACTTCTCTGAGAGACATAGTTTATGTTCTACACCATACAGGTGAGATGAGACACAACGTGCCTTGTTACTTTTCTTCTCCTGAGATTTGAGAAAGGATGAGAAGATACTTTTTGGAACTTTGCCTAATTTTGGTATCACCAAGGTATCACCTCGACTCGCAGGTGGGTCATGCAGTCAGCCCATTCCGGCTAGGCAGAGAGGTGGCGGTCCAGAAAAAGCATCCTCTGTAATGCCACGCACCAAACGCACCGTTGACCAAACCGGCTTGATGCGGTCCCATGACCATTTTAGGCTAGTGTTTTTGGGTTCCTTGCATCTATAACATACTTCTCACATCCGCTTTGAGGCCGTAATGTGTTTCACTACAGTGAAATGACCTGCAACCCCCCGAATACGTTGACCACTTCCGTAGTTGTGGCCAGTGTAACGAACAAACCTGGATTTTTTCTTCTCTGTGAGATGGTAGATGAGTTTTGACTTGAGGAATTGATAGGAATCCTGTGAAGACCATGGTCATACGAACTTCTGTGGATGGTCACCGCGCGCCCAAGACTCCGCCACGAAGTAGACTAGGTAGAATCTGTTGAGATCTCGCCACTTTTGTAGTTATTGCCTCCAAGTGCTATTATTTAAGATAGCCCAAGCTCCCCAAATGATTCTCTCTGCAGATTCAATTTTCAAATCATTGATTACAACACTTCTATCACAACGTCGCACTGCCAGCAAAAGTCAACCAAGTCACCCGCAACACAGCAAACAAACAATTACCAAACAAACATTCCCCAACACTATTCAGAAATTTCCAAAGACACTGCACAAATTCACACTCCACATTCAGCTCCTCAAAATGATCATGTCTTTTCCCGAAGAGATCCGTGAACTCCGCGAGAGGCTCGGCCATGCCTCCTCCCTCATCGACAGCCTCAGCCGCTTCGGCATGCCGTCTTCCACCATCGCCAACCTCCAATCCAGCCTGGCATCCAACGCCCGCTCCATCGAAAACACATATACCCGCTACCGCTCCGACTATGGCGCTGCCTTCGAGCGAGGCGATACTATCGCTGCTAGCGCTATCAACTCATGCAACATGCAGTTGAGGCTGATTCAGACGAACTCTCACCGCTTGAAACCGAAGGATGAGATTCAGAATCAAGAAGGTATTGTTACGGGGTTGGACATGGAGGGGAGGTTTACGGATATTGAGAGGGAGGTTATTGCTGCATTTGAAGGGCTTGCTAGGAGGCTTGGCGGGAATGGAGGGGGAGGCTTTGGAGGTTTTGGAGGAGGAGGTGGTGGTGACGGGAGAGGGCTGCTAGCACAGCTTCAAGGGTTTGTGAACCTTGGGGGTTTGTCCTTGAGAGATAATGACAGGGGTTCTGGAGGTGACACTGTTGTCTCGAAGCGGGAGATGGGAATGATGATCCAGCATCTGAGAGATTCTTGGACTGTGGAGACGGTGGGCGGCAGAACCTATTATGTCAATGTCTATGAGCCGAGCTTGAGGCGATCGGATAGACCGAGGACGGGGTTCATTCAGGTTGACAATGATCGTGATCGGGATCGGGATCGAGACCGTGGTCTGGGGATGGGACTTGGAGCATGGAGGGGCAGGTTTGATCCAAATGATGGATTCGGAAGAGGACCTCCAGGAATGGGTTTGGGTCAGAGAAATGGTGTTTCTATCTTTGAAAGATGATTGATTCGTTTGTATCGAGGAGATGTTTCTCTTGAAAGTGAATGTTTTTAGTGCTTTACTCGGACACTTGAAGTTGGACGCACGATGATCTCGATCGAACAGCAAAGGGAATGAATCACGAATAGTTGAGATGAGAAGGGGCAATATCTATTCACGCGTATGCATGGTGAACCAACTGTTCCCTATTAAGTTGTTTTAATTGACCAATCCTTCGTAGCTCTGAATTGATCCTAAATAATACATGATTTGAAAGGCTGAACGATCCAACAGGTGAGGCTAAGTCAGCGAGATGTTAGATCTTATACTTCTAACTTGGACTTATATCGATTTAGTAAAGAGAAAAGACAAAATAAGTTTGAACAGTAATGTACCAATAACCGCGGGTCGGTTTGAGCCATGAATAAGAAAAAGGCTCTGAAGTAAATTTGGTGGCCAGGATCGATGACGAAATTTTCAGCACAACTATTTCATGGCCTAGTTCACCAGCAACTTATGTTCTAAAAACTGACCAAGCTTGCTCACGCAAGCAGCAAATTGTAATATTTCCCGCGGCGTTTACGAATTTACAGTCTTGCGAACTGCAGCAGCTAATGTTAGCCGGATTTAGAGTTATGACAACAGTGGTTCGCTTAACTAGGGGACAGACCCGAACCAGTCTGAATGCCAATATGACGAGCCAGAATATATTCTCTCATTTTGCATGCTACATGCTGGCATGCGATTGAAATTATCTATATATCTTTCATCGATAATCATCATTTTGCATATTTAATCGTTCGACAGCTCAACGACACGAAATTTTCATCTCCCAATTCCGCCGGAACAATATTTATCGCAAACCCCAAAATGCAGTTAAAAGTCGCCACAATCTTTGCCGGTCTCAGCGCGACTACCATAGCTATATCTCTTCCTACACAGGACAATGTGCTCTATCCACCATTCTGCAGCGATATCGACCTTTCGCACCCACATTTAAATGCATCTGAGCCGATAAACTGCATCGAGCGATTTGGTTCTGTGAAGTCCCAAAGCAGTCCACCATTCGAATTGTGGAAAGCCTCAAATCACACCAGAATTTCGGGAGAGTCCAAGGGCTCCATTATCTGTCTCATCGGCGAAGATCAAGACACTCCGAGACACACCAATGAAACCACAAATAGCATTCGGAGCCGCTTTCCAAAGAAAGGAAGCAAGCAATCCTGCAGGACACCAGCACCCTACCGCTCCGACTTCCTCCCCGGCTCCAACAATAACCAACGCAAATGGTGCTTCCGCGAAGGTCCCATACCAACCCCAAAAGATCTCAGCGCCCTGTCCATGCTCGCTCGCGACAAATTCGACGACACCTGGAAGTTCCGCCGCATCTGGCAAATCCAGCGCACCAAATGGGCCAACAAGCAAGTCATGAGCAAAAGCGACAGCGACAACGACGGCACTTGTTTCTGCACCATGCTTCGCGTACGAACTGCTGGGTTGAAAATTTGTAATTGCGATAGATGTGATGCCATGGTTCTGAATATGGGGATGCATGATCTTGTTGGGACACTGCAGCATGAATGTATGAATGAGGGATTTGCGAGTGGATATGTGAAGATGAGGGATCCGAATGGATTGTTTGTGGTGCATGGGTTTCCGGGGAAGGAGGGCATGGTCAACGAGCCGGTTGAGCTGGATCCGGTACTTAATGCTCCTGGCGTCCTGACTGGGACTTGTATCAGCAATAATGAGTTCAGGAGGAAGCAGGATGATACTTATAAGGTGCTGGAGTGCAAGTGGAAGGATTGGTATGCTGGGAGATGTGCTACGAGGGTGAAGTACGGTGCCAATGGCAAGATTACTATCGAGCACTAGATCACGGTTCTATACATAGAGATGTGTTAAAACATCTCATGTGTGAAATCTCACAATATATCTCATCATATTTCTTTATTATCTACGTACCTCACTTGCGTCTCCTGACTGGATCCAAGTTCCGTTGACTTGAGTTGACTTATTGGGCCATTTCTGGTTTCGTAACGGCTTTTGAAAATAGAAAAAGCTCTTCAGATAGAATATTCTTCGCCCAACACACAGATGAGTTCGCCCTCCAGCAAAGGAAGCGCACCAAATTGGATGCATGTAAAGAACACGTGACTGACGAGTACTTGATTTATTTGTTGCACGTCCCCAAAACGAAATTGATGGAATGAACACATTATCATTGATTAATGTCAGATTGTTGAAGATGAAAAGAAGATCTTGGTATGAGTATATCGCACAATTACGAAACCTGCAAGAGCTATCTACAACTGGTACTTCTTGAACTCCCTAGTCTTAAGCTTCTTCTCAAACATAACATCCAGCTCTTCGTACGTACGACCCATAGTCTCAGGGATACGGAACCAAGCCCAAACGAATGAAATCGTTGACAGACCACCTAGTCGAGTCCATTAGCCAGAGTCCTTTCGCCGAGAAGGGAGAACTTACCGAAGAAGAAGCCAAGCTTTCCGCGCATATTTGCCTCGTCAGGATTAATCATATACGGGATAGCAACTGTCATAGCGATACCACATACAGCTTGCACAGCTGTGGCGACAGTAATCGTCCTTGCTCGAACCTTCGTAGCCGAGACTTCGCAGATGAGAACAAAGCACACTGGTCCGATCGTCAAGTCGTAAATGCCGTTCCAGATAACCATAATTGTTGACTGAGCCCAGATTACACCTGGACGGTTCTCATAATTGGGTGCGCAGTCCAATATGGCAATGAGAAACATCATGACTGCGAGAGTGGCAAGACCACAGCAGTAGATACGGCGACGCCCGACTTTGTTGATGAGGAACCAGGAGGCGACGGTACCACAGAAACCAACAGCTAGGTATCCGACACCCATGTCAAATGCTTTGCTACCTGGTAGACCCGCCACTGTAAGTGTCAGCTTGAATCATTGTACACGGAAAACCTGAGCACCTACGTTGGAAGAAGTAAGTGGCATATCCGACCAAGTAAATTCCGCTGAAGACTTGAATGGTGTAGACACCGATTGAGATCTCTGTCCGTCTCCAGTTGATTTTCCTGAAGCAATCAATGTAGGTAGTCCCGGTTTCCATCTCAACTTCCAATCGGTCAGTCTCGATGATCATAGCGAGAGTTGGCTTCACATCCATTCCTTTGGAAGATAGTTTCTGCAGTGACTTCTCCGCGTCTTCGAATCTACCCTTTCGAACCAACCACCAAGGTGACTCTGGTGCGAAAGGCATTCCAATTAGAATGATCAATGGCCAGACCCATTGAGTTGCAAAAGGTGCGGAGTAAGCCCAGTGAGTGTCGAGCTTAGAAGTTCCGGCAATAACACCGTTCGCGAGAAGTTGGCCCATCACGAAGCAGAGGTTTATGAACGCAGTGAGGACACCACGCAGGGCGATAGGACAGACTTCTGAGGCGTAGGCGGGAGCAATGGTCGCGTACGTTCCGAGGATAAGACCTCCAAGGAGTTCCCCTGCAAGCAAAACCTTCAATGACCGCGCGAAGAACTGGATGAAGATGCATCCTGCAGTCAGAATGACACAACCAGCAAAGGTCTACTGCTTTGTTAGCATGGAATTCTCGGCAACTGAAAAGGTATGTTTACCTTCTTCCGACCCCACCACTCCATAGGATACGCCGCTCCCAAAGCACCTACGCACTGACCGATCGGATTCCCCATTCCGAGACCAGTTTGCCACGCTGCACTGATGATATAATCGCCCTTGAAAAGATATCCAAAATCCCGCTGGAAAGAAGGAGTGGCGTACAAATTGCCGAGCAGCTGCGGATCGAAAGCTGTCATGATTATACCGAGCGAGAAGAAGATGGACCATCCGACAGCACCGGGATACAACTTCACTGCCTCGAAGAAGGTCATCTGATGTTCAACCTCCGTAGCATGGCGAGCTTCAGATGAGTTGAGTACTTTGCTGTCGCCGACAGCGACATCCCGTACTGTGTTCTCGACATCGACATCACTTGGGGCGCCCATTGTAGCGGTATTTTCCTTCCTTCTTTCTCTGGCGATGAAAGTGCGGGGGAAGGGTTAGGGGCCAAAATGAAACGATCACGAACGAGCAGACATGGCCATAATTATACTTCATATGTCGTCGGACTGATTCCTCAATACGGTAAGACCCGGGGAACCCTATCAGTACCCCTTAGGCGACGGACGATAAGAGGTCAGGATGATTGTTAACATAAGAGATCGTGAATGGATGATTCGAGGATGGAGTGCACGGTGAACTGGGGCGATCTTTCTCCGAACATCCCCACTTTCGCCGGTGGAACGTTGCTATCGCGATTTGGCCTGTAACCTCGGATCTTCTCGACAAGCAAACATCCCCAGATTCACTGATAGATCTGAATCTATCCACTAGGCATTTCTGATACCTTGGTTACAAAGACCTTATCTTTAAGATTTGTCCGGAAGTCGGCCGTGCTGTGGAGGAGAGGAGGGAATGTTCGGTTTTGGGGAAAGTGGGGGTTGGTTGAATAGTGCCTGACCATGGAGAACAGGAAGAGTATATGGTTTCACATCCTGCGGTTTTACAGTTCTTGTGATGCTCAGAGAGGTATCGCGAGAGTGTTAACACTATAGCCAGTTTTCTCATGTCGTCAAGTTCATTCAAGGCGACCAAGAAGGCTTGTCTGTCTTGGACGATTGCCAAGCCTCCAAGCCTCCAAGTCTCCAAGTCTCCAAGTCTCCAAGTCTCCAAGTCTCCAAGTCTCCATGGCTTCCCGACGTGGGGATTTCAGGTTCAGATCCAGTCCATTGTTACTCAATTGCTTCATCTCTCTTTCTTTCTTCATTTGAGTTGGATATCGTTCAAAGAGAAGCGCTGATGGAGATATTTGGGGAAAAGCTGGTCAAAGTATGATCACGTGGAACTGCTGTCACGTTCCTCACCCCCTTCTCTCTTTCATTGCTGGAAGAGCTGGCCTCACCAATAGTTGCACTCACTTGAAGTTCTGGACATGAAACGTGACTTAAACTTCTGAGTTGCATGTCTCAGTGTCATGGTCGTATTCGATTGTCACTTCCCTTTCAATCACAAGGACAGTCGTTCTGTGTGAAATGGTATCGACCCGCTGTACCCTTGAATTCAAGACATGCCAATACATCTCAGTTCTCGCTTCACAATGGCTTCATGGAGGAGACTTGTTTGGTAGAGCTCAATACGGGAAAACTTTTTCTATCTAGCAAAATCGTTGCGTATGCGCGTCTTGACGCAGATGTGAGGACGAAGAGTATGTGTCCGAAATAGGTCAGCATCTGGTTCCTTCCAAACACTGTCCAGTATAGTTACCATATAGCAATACACCTAACCTCAACGCTCTCCCTCGCTTCCTCATTCTCCGTCCCCTCAATACTGACACTAGAATGCATCACCCCACCAGCACCACCCCTTCCCTCCTTCTCCGCATCACTATCAAACAGCTGTATCACAAGCACCTCATCCGGCTCTTGCTTCTCAATCCAGAACCACTCATGACTATCACTCCCATATGCCAAGTACACATTCTCAGGATGTCCCTTCTCCTCCTCCTCCCCTCTCACACCGCTCGGAACCCGCACCTCAAACTCCACATAATCCTCCCTCGGAAACGTCTTACCATCCGACAACGCCAATGGATCCCTCAACACCCTCTTCAACGGCCTCCAAACACTAAACATCGCCCACCTCGAGCCCTGATACCTGTCTTTTATCTCCTCAGGCTTTATCCCCTCCGCCAGCAAGCGGTCTTCAGCCTCCAAAATCTCCTTAGCAAACTCCTTCGTCTTAGGGTGGTACTTTCTCAAATGCGTTCTCGCACCGCTTGGTGAGTAATCCAAATGCACTTTCGGCGCTGGACTGCCCTCACTCCCAGCTTTTGTGCCCACCATTTTGAGAAACATCATCATCTCCTTTTCGGACTCCTCTCTCGCAAGGCCATCAACTTCACTATGTAGAGTCCTCCTCATAACCAGCGAATCTGTCAGTACGGCCTTGGCCCCAGTAACGCGTTGTAAAAGCGCTTCAGTCTCGGGAATGTAAGTGGATTTCAGCAGCTCCTCATTGCTCCAGTCTTGGTGAGAACATGGTGGAGACGATAAGATGCTGGGGGAATACACAGCAGTGAAGCCGTGGGTGGAGAGTTTGTAAGGTGTTTTGGGGCCGAGGGAGAGGGAGGGACGGATGTCGATTAGTGGGAGGGAGCGGATATCGTTAAATTCTGAAAGGCTGGGGAGGTGGTAGAAATGGGTGCTTGGTATTGGTTTGATGCCTTTCGTTATGTAGCGGAAGGTACCATATGTTTTTGGAGGCTCTGAGATGCTACCCATGGCTGGTCGGTATTTGGGACCTTTGGAAAAGTCGGATTTCTGGAGTTGTTGTTGTTGATGTTGATTTGAATTAGGTTTTCAATCAAATTTCACCTTAGAGATCTGTTGTGAACACGGCATTCCAGAGCTATGGGAACTACTGTTCAAGATGGTATTGTACTGGATGAGGTGAGATAAGCCCGGGTACTTCAGATAAGGCCGTATTTAGTTCCCCATTCTTGGCTGCGTAGATGACACGTGATTGCCTGCTCTCATCATCTCTTTACCGTAGCCATTGCCTGGAGTTGTCCCTCGAATTAAGGGAAATATTGCCCATGATTCTATCTATATGATGAAAGATTTCTTTGATTTCATGGTCCTCAACACCAGAAATTGACCGTCTGCCCCAATACCGGCACGCTTCATCGTCCTCAAACTTGTGGAGTCCCATTCCCCAACATTGTCTCCGAATGACGCGCCCAACAAAGTCACAAAGAACACAGAGATCATTTGCAAAGGTATCGCTGATCTTACCATGGATGTATGATCTGTCGACCAAGTCCCCGACACAGTCATCTTCGCCGTCTCGTTCCTCGCCTGAGTCCTAAGCGAGATCAGTAAACAAGGCCGAGCTCGAAAAATAATTATCGTCACGAAGTGAAACAGAAAATACTAAGTGGCGAAACAGAAACATATCCCAGGACAGGACACTGCTGATTGCCGTCATAAAAACCATCCAGTTTCCTTACCGATTTCGAGAATGTTTGAGACATGGAAATAATAAGCACGGCTACTGACAATGCGTCGGCAGTCACGGTGATGAAGGTGAGGTGCCGAGACATGGCTAATCAAAATCTATTGGAAAATTTCAACAGAAAAGCGAGAAACGCCCGCAAGTACACCCAAACCAAGCCCCAACCTAGACCCATTCCAAACACAAGATACGAAACACCCAAAATACCCTCAGCAAACAAACCTCCAGGCCGTTAACTCATCATCACTCATGGCCCACCACTAGCCCCCGCACTCATAACGGCAATCTGCGCCCCCCTCAACCGATCAATCTCCTTCTTCAACATCACCATACACGTAACCACAACCGTAACCTCATCCACAAGTACCTCCCTTTCCTCTTCCCCTACCCCTGTCCCCTTTACATCTCCCACCCCAACACCCTCGCCCATAACCCTCTCTAAACAACACTCCAACCTCCCTCCATTCCCCGCACTCGACCCTCTACTCCCCGGCGTCCTCGTCTCCTCACTTCTAATCAACTGCGCTACTCTCACCCTCTCAATCTCCCTCTCTTTACCCTTTGCATCAACACCTTTGAAGATCTTCTCGAGAACGAGGAGGTTATCGGGTTTAGATGTGGCAGTGGTGTGGTGAGAGGAGCTAGAGGAGGTAGTGTTGGGTACAGAGAGGAAAGTGGACTTCTCTTTCCGGCTGCAGTATCGCCATTCGAAGTCTCCGTGGCGCGGAGACGAGAATGCAATGGTTCGGCCGAGGAGGCGACGACTGTTTAGCGGGAAGGAGATTGCGCCTGTGGTGGTAGGAGCAATGTTGGGAAGTGGAGTTACGGGCGATGAAGAGGAGATGGAGAGGCGGGAACTGGGGGTCGTAGAGCCGGAGGCGGTGCCGATGGGTGTAATGTTCGTTGTAACTTCCTCGTCGCTCTTCTTGCCGTGATCATCGACGTGCGACGAATATGATGCCCGTTTGCGGTCATCACGTCCGCAGTCAATTGTAGTGTCCTCGTCTTCCTCCTTGAATTCACCGACATCTCCGTCCTCATCTCCACCAATCCTCACAACAGGCGGCCTTCCAGGACCGAAACGGTACTTGGTCCTTGCGATAGGCTTTCTCTCTGCATCCTCTGCATCAGCCAGAAAACAACTTCCGCTCCCCCTGTTTGGCCTGATTGACAGCCATTTGGGGCGCTCTGTTTTTCCCTCGGCATCGCATGCGAAGATCGGGATGCAGAGTTCTTTGGTCGAAGTAGGCCAGGAGACTAGGTCTTTGCCGACAGATTGGATTTGGAGGATTGTGGTTGGCTTGAAGGGCTGGTTGGAGGGGAGGAGATCTCGTGTGGTGGAGGCGATGGATGGTGCGTAGGTGGAGGAGTATGAAGGTGGGAGGGTCGTGTTGGATGTTGTCGAGAAGAGGGAGGGTGTGTGACGGTTCTCGGAGGAGTACAGGTTGTGGAGGGGGATGGAGGAAGTGGTGGGTGGCTCGGAAGCTGTCGTTGTTGCTGTTGCGGATTTGGACATTTTGGAAGTCTGTTGACTGTGTTGTTGATCTGTGAAGTTTTTGAAATTCGTGGTATCGATGAGAACTGTCTCGTATGCTCTTGTCTTTGTGATATTCAGTTCAAAAGACCTCCATTCTCACCTAGAGATTCCATCAATATATATCTCAATCCACCCCACCACATGGCAGCTCATCACAACCTTATTTGTCCCCCTGCGCCTTGCTGTCAGCCCTGTCACAGGCACCAATGTTTGGGGCAAGGCTTAGCCTCACTCGCCTATGACGCAAAAGGGTCGAGATACGGAACGCGAAAAGACATGGGAATAAGCGATCCAATCAACATCCATGGTCAACCTTAACAGATCTTGGAAACGTCAAGCGGGGCATCTGTCTCCCGTTGCTTATTTGTCGATCCGATCTTCCCCATTGGGTTTTCTGGGACGCGCAGGGATCTTCGGATTGTGGTTAAAGATGGTTGGTTGAAGAAGGTTTGGTGAATCAAATGATGTTTGGGATGGCTGTACAGTATGGTGTTGATCTGACGAAATATTGCACGAGTAGGTTCAATTGAGATATCGGGATCTTTTTGCCCTAGTGATTGAAATGCGGCGATGCGAAATGTTGCCAGACTCCGCGTGGGTTTGTCAGGATATCAATCATAAACCCCAGTATAAAGCTTCCCCTTATGAACTTCCTGCTCAACCCATAAAGTCCACTGGAAATACTCCATCATATGATCCGGGATATCGGAATGCAAACTTGATAACCATCCAACAGTTGGATTTGATCTGGTTGGATCGTTGTATTCTTGGTCTGGATTGACCAGTTGACGAGGCGCTCGTTCGCTATTCGTTATTGGAGTCATCTGTTGAGAAGTTAGTATCCTTTTTTTTCGAATGCTGGAGTTACAAGGTAGACTGACAATAAGTTGCATAGATACGAAATGCGCTTGTATCAACTTGCCGACAATATTTTTGGGATCGATGAAGTGGACGAAGTCTTGTTGTGGCAGCATCATGAACAAGCCGTAATACTTTCGTAACTCCATGTATGCTACGCTTGCGATCAGCAGATATCGCGAAGTATCAAATGCGAACGTACCATCTTGTGACGAAGTCACCAAGTTCCGCGCCATACTCAGAAGTGTTCCATAAAGCATGAGTTCGTAACCCCTTTCACAAAGAAACCCAAATTTCTCCAGCGATCTACAAGCAGCTCGCGACACATCCGTATGAACAAGAGGCGCCAGCTTGAGCGCAGGCCCAATGAGTTCCATCTGCTCATCTCCAAAAGCCTTCTCGAACAAGAACTTCATCCGGCTTTGTCCCATCTTCATCCCAACAGCGACGGTGCCCCTAATGAAACTCATGTATTCGCCGAGACCGTCGCTGATGAACACCGAATGGAAGAGCAGTGCGAAACATGCCGCTAGCATTGCATTGCCCTGTATGAATGATTTGATTCCACTATCTATGGCTTTGTTGAGCGATTCGATGGCTTGTACTCGATGTGTCATCCCGATAACTTTCATTTCGGGTTCATCCTGTTTGGCAGCAATGTCTGCGGCTGCCAGCGCAAGCATGGAATGTAGAAGGAAATCGTACTGACAAATTAGCAATGACCTGAGAGTCATGATGAGTAGAAAACATTACATCAGGCGATATACTCGGCACCTCTTGTCTCCAGACAGAGTCATTTCCAATAGGGTGTGATGGGTACGCTGATTGTATGAAGTGGTTGAACAAACGGAAATCTTGAATGGTGAACACGGGTAATTGAGTCGAAGGGTTGGTGGAAATAGAGCTGGACGTGCTCGCTTTTCGTATCATTGTCCCAGCTTGGTTAATCTGGATCTCGGGCCATTCGCATTTCAAGTCTCGGTGAGCGCAGTAGTCACACGATGGTCGATTCTCTTTGCACTGTATTTAATCAGTCTCATCTGCTCACCATGGATACTCTCAAGGGTGCATACCTTTATCCGGGCTCGCTTGCAATTGAAACATCCCGTTCTCGATTTGGTGTGGCCTTTTCGGCCTCGTTTCCTCACACTACCATCGTCGCTCCTGGGTACCTCGACGTCAGATGAAGTACTTGATATTTGACTTTGGGGAGTGATGCCGAAATGGCTAGGTGATCGAAGAGTTCCGGGAGAATCATCCGATGGGGTTCTCAGGAATGTATCCATATCTGCAACTTTGAGACACAGTGATTCCTGGTTCGGTACAGTGATGTTGTAATGGGAGGTGTGGTTCTGATCGGCACCAGATCTAGAGGCAAGTCGTTGGGCATAAACGCTTTGCACTACGCAAGCTTCGATAACGAGTTTCTATTCACAACAGTTCTCCTAACAGTCTGATAGCCGCAGGAAATATTCAGCTCTTCCTTATGCAAAGTGTTGCAGGGGCAGTGCAGGTCCCAAATGTCGTTGCCTGAGCTGAAGCCCTGCCGATCAGCTCCTTCCCGCCCCACGCTGGTGTGAAGATCACGTGGTCGGGACAGCGGAGGAATGACTGGTCTTGGGAGTTCCAATGGTAGAAAATCTCCGTGGAGGAGATGTCAGATAGACGTTCTTGTTTGAGCTTCAAATGCCGGACATAGCCTGGTGGCAGTGTGCCTTGAACTATTGCTCTGGTCCTGTTCTGGCAAGTTACCCATCTGGTGTGACCCATGTATGATGCCAAGAGCAGGGCATATGAATTGGGACGAATCCTTCTTTATGTCGAGCGTGCACATAGTGATCGATTGATCGCCTCTTGATTACTGGTACTGTTTTTACCTAGATATTCCAATGCTAGTGTCTCTCATCCACAAGCGGCGTTTCTTTGTGTGCTCGCGCCAGATGATTTCTTCGCAAGTTCTGGTACGTGGAGCATTTCTGGATAGCATCAAAGCCCCTCTCATCAATCCCGGAGTCGATATCGTGGGTCCAGATATCTGGTACATGGCGTAGGTGCTGGGACGTGTCGAACAAATCGGCCGTTGAAAGCACTGCCAGAGGGGACAATGGTATGGGTGCGATACAATATTCATCTACGCCGTTTCGTTGACTGTTGAGTTAGATTTCTACAGAAATCTCAATCGAAGTGGCCATTGACGTGGTGGGCAACAGCAACCTCATCGCCTTCAAATTCCCCACAAACTGGACACACAGTTGTCGCTGACGGAGCAGCAGATCCATCCCCAACGACCTCCGCTTGGCCACTCCCGACGGCCGTCTCCAGATTCGGGTCCGTTTTCGAAATGTTCTTCCCTCGACGATTCTTCTTGTTGCCTTTCGTGACAATATAATCTTCCAGACTCAACTCACTCGCAGGAGGCTCATCCGGCGCGTCAAGCCTGTAATCCCCATATTTCCTCCCCGTAAACCCACCAACCTGCTCCCCCATCATTTGCATCTCACTTCTCATCCCGGTTTCCATTCCCACCCCTCCACCATGACCATTGGCACCACTGCGTCCCTCTCCATTCCTCCCCAGTCCACTCAATCCCTCTGCACCCACCCTCGCCTCTTCCTCACTAGCCATCCTCTGCACACGTCCGACTCTCCCATCTTGAAGTCGCACTTTGATACCCCTCGGGTGGTTTCCTCGCGTGAGCAGTTCAGCCACGGTGCCTTGGACCTGGCGGCCTGTTGGCTGGTCGACTTTGAGCACGATGGAGACCGCTGAACCGGGGATGACTTGCTGGATGGTTGGGACGGATGAAGGCCCTGAAGAGAAGGTAGGTCGTTCGTTAAACCCACCTCTTGAGCGGCCGCCGCGAGCACGTCCTCGTCCGGGACTTGATGTTTGCCCCCTGCCAGAGCGGTTGGCGTGGTGGGAGGAATTCATATTGCGATTCGATTGCCGAGATTGTCAATTGAGATCCTATGTGGAATATTCCGAAAGCAATTCTACATACAGGTGGGACTTAGAATGCTCGATTTGGTCTAAAAAGTGGCTTTGAGGATGCTTGGTAAGGGACGAGGTCAAGGTTAAATATGAGATGATAGTTTAAGCGAAGCTACCTACCCACCTCGCGTTTGCCTTCCGCATGTGACATTTATCTTGGTTGAAGAGCTGATATAGGGGTAGCACCTGATATATTCACTGTTTAACTTTAACTTCTTGTGCAAATCTCGTACCATAACTTAGGCAAAGCAACGAAAGCCGGTGAGATACGTACTCGATCACGTGATGTAACCTTCTACAAGCTCAATTAGCCAGTTCAGAAGGAGAATACCAAGATCAAGCATGAGAAGTCCGTTGACAGGTTTCCATCAACAGCGTATGTCTGGAAAGTTGTGGTCCATAGGCTTCAGTTGAGGCTTACTGGAACCGCCGTCGACAACGAAGAGATAAAAGCATTGCTACCTGCGCTGATCAGGGTTGAGCTGAGGTGAAAATAACAAGAATCCATAGGGTTTGATGATTCTGAAACATTTCATTTATATACAATGAGTCGACTAGCCACTCAAAATCTAGCCTCAACCTTCTTCTCCACATCTTGTAAAGCCCAAGCACTACTCTTCGTCTTACTCCTCACACTCGTTGCCTGTGCCTCAGTAAATCCCTTCGCCTCAACCGCAGGATTATATCCCAATTTATTTCTCTTACCAACTTCAGTCGAATCAACTTTAGTGTTCGACTTCCCATCAGCACGCTTGTAGACCGTGACCACAACAGCGCCTCCCAGACCAAGGTTATGTTGTAGACAAACTTTTGTATCGTCAACCAGTCTGTTGTTTGCCCATCCTCTCAAGTGCCAGACCAATTCAGCACATTGAGCAATACCAGAAGCACCAAGAGGATGACCCTTGGAAATCAATCCTCCGGATGGGTTGATAATAACCTTTCCACCATACGTGATACCGCCACTGCGGACAAGCTCGTGAGCCTTGCCTGGTTCCGAGAGACCAAGTGCATCAATAACAATCATCTCATTCGCCGAGAAACAATCATGAAGTTCGCAGACCTTCACATCATCAGGTGTGACATTCGCTTGCTCCATAGCGACCTTGACCGCATACTTCGTCATATCAAAGCCCATAAGATCAATCGCCGATCTGCTGAACAGACTCGGCGAATCAGTCGCAAGACATTGACCTGCGATCAAAACAGCTTGTTCCTTCAAATGTGGGCGCTGGTCCAAGAAATCTTGCGAGACCAGAATCGCGGCAGCTCCACCGTCGGATGTGGGGCAGCATTGAAGCTTTGTGAGGGGTTCGTGGATCATGGGCGCTTTCATGACTTGTTCGAGGGTGTAGACGTCTTGGAATTGGGAGTATGGGTTTCGTTGAGAGTGCTCGTGGTTGACGCGTGCGATCTCGGCGAAGTCTTCGTTTTTGGCTCCGTACCTAAATAGCAATGGTAAGTATATATTCTGTCCAAAAGAGTGTGGGGTAGATGTACTTCTCCATGTATTCCCGACCAGCATTGCCGAACATCTGAGCGGCACCTGGAGCATTGGTGATCCCTCGAGTTGCCTTCATCATCTCGGAGCTTGTGCCTGTTGGGTTTGCGCGGTCGTTGAAGTAGCTCTGCAGACTTCCTGGGTTCATCTTCTCGAAGCCGACAACCATGATGCAGTCCGCGCCTCCGTGGCTGATGACATTGCGGGCAAGGTGCAGGCCTGTCGATCCAGTCGAGCAGTTGTTATTAACATTATAAATTGGGATCTGGGTCATGCCGAATTGGTAGAAGACTCGTTGGCCGCAAGTGGAATCCCCGTAGCAGTAGCATGCGACTCCTTGGTCGACGTCGTCATAAGTGATCTGGGCGTCCAGCAGGGCCTTGATGCCAGCTTCGAAGCCGAGTTCTGTGTAATCGACCTTTCCTCGAGGCTTGATGAACTTGGTCATGCCCACACCGAGGACATAGCATGGTTCGTTGCGCTTGATAACCATCTTGAAGAGTGTATTGGGAACGCTGGAACAATGAGAGATTGCGGTGATGGAATTAAAATCAGTCGACAATGATGACTCGTGAATGTACAAAGATCGTTACGTGTATATATACATAGGAATAAGAGGTCGATATAGAGTATTGTACAAGTCTGGACACTAAGGGAGGTTTATGTGAACAGCCACGGCGTTCGAATTGCCCCGGCTTTAGAGAATGCGGGGTGGACCGAGGCTGCGGCAACCCCATGATGGCGTTCATGATTACTCAGCTCACATGTGCGAATCCAATGCGAATTTAGTAGAGGGGACTATCCGTTGTATGGACATTAGACAAGGCGCAAAGACGTCAGATCTGACGATCTACTAAGTCGACCGAGCCAACTTCGGCACTCGGGTATGAAATCGTCGGCTCACATCTGTGTTGCATTTCTCGTGCCAAGAAATGATACACGTGAATCTAATGACATTGGTGGTGTAGGTACTCAGGCTGCTAGGTAGGTATGATTCCTAAAGATGTGGAAATTGCATAGATTTAAACGTTTTTTCTGTAATCGGGTACGCTATGAAAAACACAATGACTACACGACAATTTATTCATTATTTCAACTGATGACAATTCTCACCGTAGATTTCCTTGCTTTCATTTTCAACTGTGCGAAACCCCGGAGAAATATAGGAGCACTACGCAAACCACGATCTTGAAGAGAACGGAAACCGTACTCGCCATCAACACAAACGCGTCCGCAATCCTTAATTGTCACTTCATATCCTTTCTCTTCAACCCGATTACCGGGGTGTCCTGCCACGCTTCACTCGAGCTCCCACTCCTATTTGATTGTCTTCTTTCTCTCAACGACATTGAAGTGTCCCAAGGAACAGATGTTTCACTTGAAACTCCACCAGTTGTCGTTCCAGATCCCTGTACTGGTACAGGCAGCGACGGTGGTTTGTACTCATCGGGCATTTTAATATCAGCTTCGCGGCTTGACTCTGGACCCCAGTACCAAGTGCAGTCGACTTGAAACACATCATCAATGTGTGCGAGATCACCTGGCACGGAAATTTGGATCGTCTGCCATGATTGGCTGAGTGATGTCTGGCTCGATGATGTCGGCATTGGAGGTGGTCTGATGTGTTCTGGCATGGAAGCAGTTGGGTCCCGATACGAGGCTGAGACGTAGAACCAGTCAACTTCACAAGAGTAGATGTCATCAATGCCGCTCATGTCTTTTGGGGGTGGATGAGCAGTAATTGTCGTAGAAGCTGATGGTGTAGCTGTTGATGCTTGGGGATAGACGAGTTGATATGTGCCATTTACCTGATCAAATTGCGGACTCGTAGGAGGTGGTTGTACAGGTTGCGGTTGGATAACTGTTGTTGGCGGAGGTGGTGGGTTGGCTCGAGGAGATCCGCTGTCTGATCCACTTTTTGATGAAGGAATCCAGTGCCATTGCCCATCAGCGTCGGGGTCAACAGGGATTGGGTTGGGCGGCTTAGATTTCGGAGCTTCGACTTTCTTTGGTTCCTCCGTTTGGCTCTGAACTCCAGGCTTTGGCCTCCATGTCCCTTTTCCGAACCCTTCGTAGTGCAGCTTCCATGCTTGAAGGCAAGTCAGCACATTATCATAAGTGTCATGGCGGAGGAAACATACTCGTTGGATCAAATGTCAAATTTGTCCAGGTATCATCCAGATAGCATCGCTCTGTGCCAATGGTAACGATCTTGAGGATCCCCATTTCTCCAGGTGCTGGACGCAGGTTCTTGAGTGAGGCAACGACCTTGAGTAGAGCAACGCAATAGGTCAAGGCTATTTCTCGACCCAAACACTCATGGACTCCATGACCAAAATGAATGTAAGCAGTTGCAGGACGTCCAAGCTTGAACGTCTTGGGATCAGTAACAGCATCGGCATCTTTGCACGCGGGACCCTTTAGCTATCAGCGGAAGTCCGAAATAAGAAGTTGTTCGACGCCTACCAAAAGACAGATGACGGTATCACCCTTGGAGAATTTTCGTCCCTCTACGGTCGTATCTGCTGCACAAATTCTCAGGTTCCGCTGTGTACTGACCAGTCTTTGAGCCTCGAGTACGTATTGCTTCAGTACTGAATCCGTTGTTGGACCATTCGAAGCTACCAAGTCTTGGATTTTATCCCAGAGCTCTGCATTCGCTGGTTGTAGATAGAATTGTAGGACTTCCGCAAACTGTGTCCCTGTCAGTTGAGTAGCGTCGGAACCAAAAACGGGGAACCTACTAAGCTGACTGGAACCCCAACTCCTGCCACTCCGGTTAACCACATGATCTCAGCAACCTCATCACATGAGAGCCCGTTAGCAGATAGCTGACGGACGATATGCTGACCATACCAGCGAAGCGAGCCCAGCTTGATGTGCTTCCGATCTCCTTTGAGCACTGTCGTTAGTGTTTTGCACAACCCGCCAGTGACTGCTCTCTTAACACTCGCTTTGGTAGTCTTCGTCAGGATAGTCGCCCCTTCTTGAGCTAAGATCCGTCTTATGAAGGCAAGACCAGAATCATTGTTGTTGAAACCCCAGACGCGAACGTTTAAGAGATGTTTGTACAATTCCTTAGCCGAAAGAGCGCCGTGGGGATTTTGTGGACCCTGAAGATCAAGGTAGAAAAGATCGCCGATGAGACGAGAGCAAGCTGGGATTGCGATACTTCGAAAGTCAGGAAGCTGAATTGACGAATTACAGCGAAGCTGATGACTTACTCTCTGATAATGTCAATTTGACATAGATTATCTGCATTCATCTTGAATCCCTCCAGCTCCAAGCTTCTTTTTGCGGTGGCCGTCACGAACTCCATGACCAGCTTTGTAAACTCATCAGGTCCATACATAATCGACTGCAACAAAGCTCGCTGTGTCAAGTTTTCTGGTCCATCGCCACTGAGCATGAAAGATGAATAATCCGTCTTCCCAGGAAAGAGGTCATTCAATGCAGGAAGCCACGGTACCCTGAACGAAGTCTGATCTTTCAGGACCTGGGTAATAGCGGAGTGTTTGGTGAGAACGATAGGGGCAGCAGGCTTTTTTGGCCCTGTCAAAGAGTACTGTTTGATGGTACCTATCTCTTCTGCGATTTGTCTGTTCATTTTCCAAGTGAACATTGGCTGCATGATGTGCAAACTGTTGTAGGGATACCATCCCGGAAAGGCTCGCTGCAAAAGTCGGTAGAACATGGAGCCACCTAGGACTTTGTAATTCTGTTGAACTTCCTGCATGCCCCAGTTTGTGAGATTGGCAGCCGTGTAATCAATGGTGTAGAATCTGTCGGAACGAACTAAGACAACAGCGTCCGAGAAAACAGCACGACCGACTGTATATGGAGGACATCCACCGCATCCAGGATCCATTCTGGGTTTTGCATCTTCCACGAAGAGTCCTGGGTACAGCTCCACCATATCAGGATGATCATACAAATTCCTCAGAAGTGCAGATATCTCTGGGTCGGGATTGATATCTTCCATTGTTGCATGCTTCTTCAATCCGAAGAAGTGGCGAAATTCATTGAGGGAAGCGAGACCCCATTTCCGTGCTTGCAAAATGCCTAAGATCTCAACAACTCGGAGTGCTTTTGGTACCATTCTAGACCCGAATAAGCCTGCTGGATCTTCCATGGCACTTGTCATGATATTCACGAGGTCCTCGTCCCTGAACTTGCCGTCCGAACCTCGTTTGAGTCCGTCGAATTCTCGCTTGCTAGGGTCTGGGTCAATGCTCGCTTCGTACTTCAAAAAGGCTTGAAAGAATTCTGACGGAGACAGCTCGGAGATGTGTTTCGTTTTGTCAGGCAGAATTGAGCCTAGGAACGATTCGAGCCACTTCTCGTCACGCCTCGAGATTATAGAGTGGAATCGATAAAGGAGGTTGAATTCTGCGGACACTTGGTTGCCACAGCCCCGCTCAAGATCTTCTCCGTCATATTGTTTGGTGATCTCGACCCGAGGGTCCAGGGTCCAAGAGCTGCTGGAGTGATGCGTATTGGTCAGACCACGAAGATAATCGTGGAGACAAATGTTTATATAGAGTCCTCCAACAATTCTGGATTATTAGCGAACATTTTGTTCAAAGTAGATTTCGTGCTTACAGTCGTGCGGTTTGAAATATGTCATTGTCCTGTTTCGCGAGAGCTTTCTTCTTCTCTTCCTCGGCTCTGGTATGCGGTAGGCTGAAGCGACCATTCTCGTTAATTTTCAGCAGAATCTCAGCCACGTAGTTGTGAAAGCGATTGTACATGATTAGCATCACGTTGATACCGGGAGGTTGTGCCAGGAGACGCTTCTCATGAAAGGTGTCTGGCTTCAGGAGACCACATGACATTGTCCTGACTTTCAACTGGTCTTCTAACGAAGAGCCATAAAGGGGAGCCAAATCAAGATAAGATGAAGTGTCTGAGATATTGGTATCTCTTCTATTGGTCCGGAAGATATCTGGAAATACTCAGCAAGGATATAGCGGTAGGCTCATGAGTGCAAACTCACCATGGACAATGATTGTAGCATGGTAAAATAGAACCGAGGAGATACCAGCAGGATTTTCCTTGAACGTTTTATCGTCTCGGCTCATGAGCACTGTACTACTTGATAAGCCATCGTCGCAACTGTGAGTTCGAAAAGGACATTCTTACAGTCAAATAAAAGCCCAGGATCTGGTCGGACTCCGTGAAGTCTCTTGGTTGCCCTCGAAGTCCTTGCATAAGGTGTTCCAGCTTGTCCAAGATGAGGAACAAGAATGTTCTGAGATTGAACGTCAGAACAGTGCCAAAATTCAAGATAAAATATTTCTTACGTTGTAACTTCCATCTGGCATCCTGTATTGGAACTTCTCACCGAGATAGCTTCGTGGTGGGTGTTCGAGGCTGTCCCAAAGAGTCCGAACAATCGTGTGGGTCAATCGCTTCCTGGACTTTGAACTTGGTGACAGAGAGGCTGTAAGGGCAATCAATTTTTCCATCTGTTTGGTAATTAGATGACCGTCGAGTAGTCTGCACTTTTACGTACAGTCATGAGTTTGTCGTCTACTGGGTTCCCTTTCTGAGTTGCCAGCTTCAATAAAGTGAAGACGCTTTTTCGCCCGCCTTTGATGCCGACATGCCTGAGATCTTGTAGTATCCCAGTGGTGAGTGCCTTCGGATCGCCATAAGAATCATTGACATCATACTTTTCTTCAAGATCATCTTTCCGGTTAATAATACCCAGTCGCTCAGGAACGAATCGAACCACTTTCGTGCTCAGCGAGCTAGCTACAGAACTCATGTCGTAAAAGGCAGCATCTTTGATCCACCATGACCACACCGCAATCCCTGCTCCAGCAATGATAATTAAGGGAATTAAAGTGGAAACAAGGTGTACATAGGTGTGAATCAAGAAGCGAAGTTCGTAGAAAAGGTATCTCAGGTACAATCGCCAGCCACAAATGCCAAGCCTACAGCTCATCGCAAGTTTGGATAGCGACCAAGGCACATACCATGTTCTTTGCAGCATATCGAAAACAATCCACCTCGATGCCCGGTAGATTCTAAGCGGAACTTTGTGGAAGAGAAAATGGAGGGTGTTGTTGAAGTCCGGGAAAGCAATGTGGCCATGCTCAAGATACAAAATGATTGGAACTAAGCAAGCGAGTAAAGCGATATTGCTCAACAACCCCCAAAAGCTTGCCATGATTTCGAATTTCTTGCCTTCGTCAAAAGTTCTAATCACTGGTAAGCTGTTGTGACTTGGTGTATGGTCAAAGTTGAGATACATGGAGCTCAATTTCTCACAATAAACATTTCGAACTCTCGTAGTCCATCACCTGCTTTGGAAGAATGGGAAGTCCGGAGCTCACTCCTCTCGGATCACAGCCAATCAAATGAACTCAAACACAGGCGGCATTCTCCATTCCGCGGTTTCGTATATCCTCTGCTTGGAAACCAAGGGAACTCTGCCGAGCTGATCTAATTGGGTGGAAAGCACCTGCATGTCTCAGTCCAGCTCGTCGCCGCCCTATCCGAACCACCTCTCCACAACGTGTTGGGGTCTACGAGGTCGATGTTCAAATTGAAAAAGTTGGTCTGTCTGCACGGGGTATCACGTTGCAGGGCTGAATACCAACCTGTATCACAGGAAAACGTCTCTCTGCTCTATGATTTGACAGTTCTGTCAATCAGGCATGAGCTGAATGATCCGCTTCCGGTAGTTCCTTGCGAAAGACCTTGGCGTGTTAATCAACTTCCCTTTGTTGTTAATCAGCCTAATGGTGAATGTATCCTCAATTGATATATCCGCACCATGATTTCGGAAGCAAGCGGGCACGATACCGACAAGTCTGAGTGGAGGGTCAGGCTGAGAATGATGGAGGAGTACTCATGACATTGCCTGCAGCGTCCATTGTCTGTACCATCTTAAGAAAATAACTAGGCTTTTGAATGCGTCCAATATCAAGTGTTCAAGATGCCGAACTCCGATCATTCACTATCAAATCAGAGGAGACTCGTTTTATGTTTCGATGGAACAGGAAACAAATTTCAAGGGGCTCCATCTGATACAAACATCGTGAAGCTCTTTCAAATGCTTGACCGTCGTGATCCTAATCAGTTTCATTACTACCAACGTAAGTGACACTAGTAACACTAGAATGGGTACTGCTGATATCAAAAGCTGGTATTGGGACATACTCAGAAGGGGGCCACTCCAAGCCCCAGACTTATATCGCCAGGCTCGCAGCAAAAATATCTGCAGCAATAGACCAAGGGGTTGGAACTTCATTTGTGGACCATGTAGTGGCAGGATATCGCTTCCTCATGCGCTACTATCAGGTCAACGATGCTATCTATATATTTGGCTTCTCGAGAGGCGCATACACTGCTCGCTTCCTAGCTGAAATGGTCCATACCATAGGACTTTTATCCCAGGGCAACGAAGAAATGATACACTTCGCATGGGAAACTTTTTCGGAGTTTCAAAAGTGTCGTGGGGATGAGAGAAAGTCTGAAGAAACTCAGGAGCATGAACATTTCATGGTCAAATTCAAACAAACGTTTTGTCGTCAGAACGTCAAGATCCACTTTCTGGGTCTTTTTGACTGCGTCAATAGCGTTGGTCAATTCGAAGTGCCATTGGCCCAAAAGTCATTCACATATATCCCTAGGTCATCCGCGACTCATGTACGGCACGCTGTCTCGATACATGAGAGGAGGCTGAAATTCAAGCCAGCATTATTCAGAATGGATAACAAAGACTTGTCCAACGACACTGTGGAGATGTGGTTTGCTGGAAACCATGGAGATGTTGGAGGCGGATGGGATCTTCAAGGTGGTCAGAGGGTACTACTGTCGGATACTCCCCTACTATGGATGCTAGAAGAGCTGCACAAACTTCCTCGCACCAACCACACGCTGTCATTTCGGTACACGTCAATCTCAAATACACATAGTACTGCCAATTCTGAACCCAGAAAGTCTTCATCGGGTAGATTCGACTCTAGAAATGGCATCCGTGTCTTGGAGCCACATGATATGCTTACATTTGGCAAAGGCATATCATGGCTTGGGGTTCTGTTCTGGTGGATCTTGGGTGAGTGGGTCCATTCCATCCTGGATAAGCTGAGTCTCAGTGACAGAACTGCTCCCCATCTTCAACAGACTTGAATTGGAAGGAGGGAGATGGGTACCACGCCATTGGCCTCCCAATCTAGGAGCTCCCCGCGACATACCACATGGAGCCGAAATACATCCAAGCGTGTATGAACTTCATCGAGCAGGAGTGCTGAAAGATGACCAACTGCCACGGACGGGAGGCGATAATCCTCACATTAGTCCCCTGCGAGTCTCATTTTCATGGAGGAACAGAGAAGATAGGACTGATAAAGATAGTAACAGTCAAGTGGGAGACAGGTTAACAAGTTTGCCGCTTCCTGGGACTATTTTGTCTAGATTGAGTAGAAGAAAGAGTGGGAGGGGCACGAGTGTCTCAGATGTCCTTTCTGATGCGTTGTCAAACGGGGCTGCGAAAATTTGATGTTTAATGTGATCCTCATTAATATCATGGAACTGTACAAAGAGGTTGAATCCTGGAAAGCCAAGTGAAGAGCAACAAAGAGAGCGTCGGTTCCCATGAGAATCCTAGAATGGCAACCATTGGCACTGACCACCATACTTTCCTCCCCAGCCCCACTAATAAGAGAAGAATCAGTACAGGTCTTCAATTGAGTGATTTTTCCAGGTGATTTGAGAATATCAAAGGCATGAATTGGAGAGACAGTCTTGAATTCTGAAATCTACTTACGTGCCCGTTCTCGCGCCTAGCGTCATTTATCAGACCGTTGCAGCCCATGAAAAAGAGCCGAACACAGGTCTGAGTCGAGTTGTCGGGAATGTGGGCGCAGCACAGAAGCCTTGAGCTACTGGATGAGCAGCAAACTGAAATCAACTTCGGTCCTTGCCACTCTCCATCCCGACAGATACACTCCGTGACGGAGTGGAAGCCTCCACAGCTGTTTGTCCAATACACACAAATTTGCCCAATGGGCTTTCCACTGCTAATGGAGGCAGTAATATGAGTCTGCTTCTCCACGGGAGTATCTCCATTTATGAAATTGCCTATATTGGTTAAGATTTATCTCCGTAGTCAGGCCTTGCTGATAGCTTCGCTTACCTGGATGCCACTTTCCATCCCAGACAATCTCCATGATCCGAAGATCAGTGTGCTGATAGAAGCCTCGAATGATGATACCCTTTGAACCTGGATCTCGAGCTGACCGTGGTTGACACAAGAACGCAAGAGCTGTTCCTTGAAGAGGCGTCGGAAACGAATGACCGGTATTATACTGCTCGCTCGAGTTTCCATCGAAACATATTTCCTGAATATGATCATCTGGTGCCTGGAAATAGATTCTGAAGAAAGCATTAATGGTCAGAGCATTGGATGTCGACTTTGGTAGTGGAAGACATACCTGATATAAGGAGTATTCCCTTCTACCCATGCGACTGCACCGATACGACTGTGCCCAGAAGCAATAAAATTTCCGCCATTGATTCGTCCATCGTGGAGTCTCCCACCAGTCACACCGAACACTCGTACTTCGTTATTCTTGCCAACGTAAAAGGTCCGTGAGCATGCTTGCTACGCTAGATTGTCAACGAGCTTTCCCAATGCTGAACATATTGCCAGTTGGCTGGTGACAAACGCACTTTGTTCCAGGCGAACATCACAGTAGCCATTGGAGTCTCCATCTTGGCCCTTCCGGGTGGGACCATCACATAGGCGTTTCCACCATCCCATTTGGCTCCATAGTTGTCAGTCGTGAAAGCGTGGATACTTCCATCCGGAGTTTGATAGAAGATGCGCTGCTAAATGTCAAACGCGATTGCCTTTATCGCGGGAGGGTTTTCACGACTTACATAGCTCCTGCCGTTATTGAATTGACAGCCTGCAATGAATGTCTTCTGTAGAACCGACTTGACGCATGGAATAGTGGACATAGCGAGGGAGTTTCTATATCTTTGATAACTTTTTGCCTGCTATATCAGTGACTGAGTCGATCTTGCGCCGGTGGAGACTCCTTCTACAGAGACCTTCGCAACAGCTCCCACCATGCAAGAAGTATGGCCGAAGCATCTTGTAAGCTCTACTGCCATTCGGTGGCATTTCCGAATCCCAGGCTTGTTATTCTCGACCTAAATCTCCCTAATCCGACGCCGCTTCCGTCTTCCCGTGTCTCCGAAATGTTGTGTGCGTGTTCAGCCAGCCATAGAGGAGCTCATGATATCGGATCTTTGCTAGCTGCTACTCGACGGAGCAGTCAGCAGAGACAGCAATGCTTGCATGCTCCGACAGCACCAAGGGTCCTTGATAGGTCTCCGTAAACCAAAGCGCGATCCAATGCATGTGATAACACTATATGGCCCGCGATGATGTTCGGATCGTTCCGGACTTGGCGGCGTATCAGTTTCTCTTGCAGGCGCCTTCTATCAGCAAATGAAGCGCCGCCGGGTGATTGAGTTGCATACGAGCTGACGTGTTGTGCGACACTGTTGTGGAGGTCCTGTGGAGGCATTAAGACGCGATACGCTAGCTAAGCGAGAATGAAAAGGGGGCCTGGCACTGTTTGTATGCGGGGTATTCTTGTTCAAGATGTCTCAAGCGACAGTCCACAAACGGGCAACCAGACCAGAACTAGAAAGGCTGTTCGGGTTCTTTTCAGCTAGCCAAAGATACAGCCAGCCACATAATGCCTCTCAAACCCTTGATGTACTTGCGTTCCCGCACGAACTGACCCGAGCCGTGTTGAGTCCATATTTACCCCTTGGGAGACATGCTTTGCAATATCAGACGCCCTGGCTCACCTCCCAAACAACACAGCCCAAGATCGCCAAACCCAGCGATTCTCAAATGATAAACAACCTTGACAGTGCTCGTATCTGCAAGCATCCGTCGCCGTCTGAACGGCTAAGGATTTACAACGAAGCTCTCGAGGAGATTGGTGACGGTTCAAAGACAAGATTCACACAATTCTCGTAGCCATAGGATCTACTTGAAAGCTGGTTTACACTGCCATGTGAGTTCCTAGATATGGTTATGAGAGTTTTTCGGATATCTGCGCTCAGTCTATATCTCGTGGGTTAATCGATAGATGGGCACGTTCAGAAAAACATTGCCGAGACTTGGAGCAATTGGTGCTCGGCACCTCTGGTGAAGTCATTAATCTGTGTCTTTGAACCATGTCTGCAAGTAGTACCGCAATAGACCCAAGCTGCATCTTGCTTGAGGTTGAAAATGATTTATGCGAACGGTCCAAATTGGAAGTCACCACAAGTGCCCCGGGCAGCCATCTCTCTCGGGATCGGAACCATTTCTAAATCATGCATGAGTTTTATTGATGCATAGCTGCTTTAATATCTGCTTGTACGAGGATCTCAAGTATGCTCAGTCACATGTGAAGCCGTGTCGATCCGTCAACTACTTTGGGCAAATGCAACTGACCTGATGGTCACGACATAAACGTCCGCCAAACAACATCCCACAAATTTCTTCGCCATAATCTCTCTTCTTGAAATTTGCTCACCAGCACTCGAATTTACCCACTCTAGAACTACATCCTTGAGATTATGAAGCTTTTAAACATTATACTTGTCTCTTCTGCTCTACACGGAAGCCAGACACTTGCGGCTTTCCGTCCGGACCTTCAAGAGAATGTTCAAGTCGCCGAAATAGAACCAGATCAAAGGGTCTCCGATGGTGCTACCGAGATTACACTGAAAGCATATCCAGGCTCTGACTTTGAGATCGCTTTCAAATGTACAGATGACACCAAACAGTTCACCTTCGCGGACCACAAGCACTGGGTAGCCTGTTGCCGGCCAGGCCAAAAGCTTCTCGTATGTTATCCAATTCGTAGAAGAGTTTGTAGAAGTAGTACCATGGACGAGAGATTCCTTCACTTCATTGATGTAGGTGCTAAAAGATCTTTAGGGTAGCGAGTTCACTGCATTCGACTGCTGCGATCCCAGTCAAGAACTTCTTGGCAGTAAAGGTACTGGATACAGGTGTTGCCCAATCGGCAAAACATACGATGAGTGCACTGGAGTGTACAAACCGGTTGCTACTTGTCCTGGAGCAGAAACATTGATCAATGGGCAATGCACTTGTCCTTCAGGCACATACCGAGCATCTAACGGTGTGTGCGAGGCATTGAAGTGTTCTTCGGGTGTCCAGTCAGGTAAGAAACATCATCACGGAAGTTTTCCAAGGAGTATCTGCTGACTTGAAATCAGGGAAGTGCTACACTTTCACTTTGGAGAATGGACATCGTTTCGGTTACAACTCGGCTGGCTTCTATACTGCCTCTGAAGAAAGTCGAGCCCAACAATTCGGAAAGTTCAAGTTATGCACAAACGAGTACTGCTCAGCCAGTACCGACATAAACCCTGGACAGCCATTCTACATCAAAGACATCCACGGCACCGCAAACGGTGGTCAGCACAGCAAGCAATGGCTGAACAATGCCAAGGATGGATCTCACATCACCAAGACAGCGCACTTCTCGCAAGCTGGTCTATTCACCATCACCAAATGGCCCTGTGGCAAGTATTGTCTAAGTGGCAAAGACCGGGGAGTTGGACCAACTTGCCCTACTGAGATGCTTGGTGCCACTTTCACCACAGCCGACGACCAATCCTGTGTCCCCTTGACTCTGCTTGAAGTCCCTTGCGATGTCAGAAGCTTGGAAAATAATTGTATTTGGGACACTAAAAAGAAGCAATGCGCTGGTGAGGAGGAGCTTGCAGCCTGCAGACTTCATTTGGATTCTACTTCTCCGATTACTGTAAACAGTGATGCAGATCATCAGTTTGTCTTTTAGGTACTTCCCATGTCTTGGTTAGAAGTTGATGACGGAGTGGAAGTCACTCACGAAGCTCGGAATTGTTGTAAAAGTCCTTCATACACCCTCGGGTATTAGTCGACAGCAAGTACATCAATTCATAGTGAATTCGAAGACAGAAAAATAATGAACTCTTTTAACTCCTATTTATTGCTCCCACTCTGCATCGGCCCTCCGCTCTGATACCCTCTTTGAACAACTCACATTAGGTATCTAAAGAACATATCTTCTCTGTCCGTGATATCCATGCTTTCGTCCAAATCGTCCCGTAAATGAATCCTTGCATCAGACGAGTTCTCCATTGCCTTGTCTCGCCGAGCATTTTCCCTCATGAGATAGATCCGCAAGACGATTGCAATCGCCCCCGCAATAGAGAAAACGGAAATAATAGTTCTCATCCCCGTCTGGTCATCTGTTAGTCCATTGTCTTGAAGATCACGAAGACAAAGCAGGAAAACTTGCCTGGTATCTAGGAGACTCGCTATCGAGGAAGAAATGGGGCCCAACAATTCTGCCAACACAATAGGCAACGAATACCATGGACATCACCGTTGCTTTCTTGGTGAATCCAGTGATATTCGATGTCACCATGGATGTAGCCATTGGCAGATTTGCTGAGAATGCTGAAGTGAGGCACGCTCCTGCGACACGGGCAGCTCGATGTTCAGCGGGAATCAGGAACATCATTAACGTTCCCGTGATACTGTTCGACATTAATCCAAGCCTTAGAATCTTTACGATGGTGTTCATTTCTTACCTGACTGCCATGAAGAACATCATTGCAAACAGTCTTGCGTTCTTGACAAAGGAGCCAGGGTAGGCACTACAATTTTGTCAGTGGACGGCAATAAATCCAGTATGGAAAAAGTACTAACCCGATAGAAACGAAGATTATCTGCGACACTCCAAATGGTATTTGCAATAGAAGCGTTGAGAATAGATCAAATCCAAAGCCTTTGATGATGATGTTTCCGAACTACGCGTCTTGGTCAGATTGCCCGTCATCGCCACTTCGCCAGGACGGACTGAAATGACATACACTGGAAAGACCACCCGTGGCAACATTGACGCAGAAAGTGTTCATAGTAAGCAGCCATGCTTGTGGATCTTTAAGAGCCTCGATGACTTGGTTCTTCTTGTATTTTCTGGTCTTCCTGCTTCCATTTCCCTGCACTCTTTGTACTGCCAATTTCTGTTCCTCTTCTGTGAGGAAATATGCTGTAGATGGATGCGATGGTAGTGCGAAATACAGAATGCCGCCAAAGAATATCGTCGCAGCACCGTATATCAGAAACAGGCACTGAACTTGCGTCAGTCTGCTTCTCGGGAGTCTTTAGCTGGGCAATACTCACTCGCCACACCGCGACTTTGCCATCAATGTGGGCGATCCCATAGGCAATAAGTCCACCAGTAATGCCAGCGATGCCATCACCAATGAAGAATGCACACTGCCTGAAAGGTTGCTCTTCTCTCTTGTAGAATATACCGATCAAGATTGCAAAGGCGGGAACAACAGTTGCTTCGCCAACGCCGAGGAAGAATCGTACAGCCATGAGACCAGCCCCATTCGTACATGCAGCGTGGAGCATGAGAATCACAGCCCAAGACATGCTATGAGAGATCAGTTAGACTTTGGTCATTCGCAGGACCAGGTGGACTTACACTGTAACCGAAACATATTTTCCCACAGGGAACTTGACGATCATGACTGACGTCGGGTAGGAGAAGAATAAATAGCCAAAGAAGAATATAGAATTCGCCCATGAGTATTGTTGATCGTGTAAATTCTGAGGAGCACATCAGCCATTGTTGCCTGCGCTTGTGTTGTAGGATATCCACACAGAGCACATACCAAGTCGGGTATGATCCCAAGGATGGACGCGAACCCGATCGAGCCTTTGTCGAGGTACTGGAGAAAATAGCATATGATGAGAAGCGGAACTAGTCTAAAGTGTAATTCAGTTAGTTTTCTGAGAGTAATGCGACATAGGGTGGCTTACCTAATATCAATCTTCCAGAGGAGCCGCCTTTCTGCAGCAGAAAGCTGAGCGCTTACTCTTTCATGCTCGTCCTTAGATGGAAGATTGCTGGAATCTGTAGCAACACCGACGTTTGGCAACTTTTCATCTTTCGGTGTGCATTTATTAGGCCCTCCAGGAGTCGAACGGGCATTCAAGTCAGTTTGATGAAAGACATCGAAGTTCTCGATCCCCATGATTGGCATCACTGTCGAGGAGGATGCTTGAATCTCGTTGTCAAGTTGCGAGATTGTATCGTTTGAATTGGTATCAGATCTCTGTCCTGAGAAAGTCATGTATGACACTTCATCTTGTCGAAGTAACGTTTGACTCTCGTCCTTATATTCATCACGCTGGATCGCCATCTCTTCCCTTTTTTCAGCCTTCTTTCTTTTGCAAACTTATGTACAGCTCTAGTAGGAGTCGAGACTGAGTCTATTCTCTGGTGGCTGATCTTCTAAAGATATGCTAGGAAGTTTCAATCATAGTGATATGTTGTAAAGTTTATTTGATCAACTAGAGTGGGCGCCGGGTTGATATGGCTGAAGCTCTACTGGCCCACGTGATCTGAACATCCTGGGTGCAGCGGTTAAATCTCTGATCAAAAGAAACTGTAGATGCAAGGTGTGCACTACATGTGGCGCGGGGGGCTGTCATGCGTGATGGAACTCAGCCGGTCCATACACCGCTTGTAAAAATCCACTGCTTCTGCCCCCCACCTCAACTGTAGGTACTCACTCCACGTATTCGTTGCCACCCAGAAGCTTGCAGCTAAGCGAATATCAAAAACTCCATGGGCTATCCACGCAGCAATTCAGCCTGCGTCTGATCTAGCAGAATGAAACGTCAAGCAAGACTCCCCAACACTCCGTTTATCATGTTGTATCCCAAGGCGAGCATACTAACATTTCTCCCCCGTGACATGGGTTGCGAAAAGGAAACAACATGCACGGGCGAGTCAGGGTTTGTCATGCGGCCCGGTTCTGATCGAACTCTAATATGGTACTAAACGAGATCAGACCAATCATAATCCAAAAACAAAATATGTTTGTTCGGAAAGACAGCGGTGGATAGCTCCGCCCATCCCAAGAGAGCTGAATTTAAGGTTTGGGTGTCGCATATGCTTGAGGGAGGCGCCGGAATTGTTCCAGATTTCCAGAAGCGTGGCTAGAAGCGCTACCTTGGACATTCACACCCCCTAGAGGATTCCAGACAAACCCAAGTGGTGACTTTGCCTCTTCGAGCACACGTGCAGAAAGCTTCTATCGTGGAACAAACTGGTGGCGCGGATGTCAGTCCCAAACATCCGCCCATGCGACAAATGCACCCAGCATTGTTGATTCAATTACTGGAGTAAGAAACAGCAATCCAGAGTGCTGATCCATCCTTACACCCGATGGAGAGGACTTCTATTCTAATATAAAGTAAATCTAGCATCGGTCGGCAGCTCCGAAATTAAAAGTTCACACTAGCCCTGGCCAATTTGCTGGACGATCATAAAACCCCTTAACAGAGGTTTATTCAAGCCTAAGTTCATGGTTTTGGTCCCATAAACTCTATCTGCCCCAGGTTGACCCCGAAGTATCGTGGCGAATTCGGTTCAGCGCATGAGTACAGACAGACTTTCGCGAGATGTTTGGGATCCTCAACCCTGGTTCTCCAAGATGCGACGAAACCTACCGAAAGCTGAAACTCGTAAACACTAGTCTCTTCCAGATGATGGGTCGACTCTCATTTAATACAGGGAGTCTGGCATCGAAAATGTAGAGACTTTGTACGCCGTCATTGTGTTGATTTTCTTGTCTGGACAAGATCTCGCAGCAAAAAAACGAACAGTAATGATATCAGCCACGAAATACGCGCGACTCGCAGAGGATGAGAAGTCTTGCCTTGACCTAGAGCGCTGTAGAGACAGTGTTGAAAGTACTGTCATCAAGAAAGATAATGGATACGATGACGGATGTATTCCTGAAGTTGACGATGAGGAGGAAGACAGGATACGTGGTTGGTCTGTAAGTATAATTCGAACAATCTTACGGTACTAGAGTTGAAGGTTAATGGTAGATAGTGGGTACTCATAGTCGCTGGAGTGGCATCTGCGATGTTCTTCTACTGCTTGGATAAAAGCATCACAACAATCCTCATTCCAGTCATCGTAAGCGAGCTTGGCGAAGCGTCCAAGTTGCCCTGGGTTTTTGTTGGGTGAGATCCGTCTCTTTCAATATCTTCATGTCATACCGAAGAACGAAGCTCCTGACACTTTCAAGTTTTGGGCTGGGTTCCCTATCACTTACTCTTCCCATTGGCAAGATTTACAGTCTTTTCAACGCCAAAATTCTGTATCTAGGTTTTCTCGGAATCTTCATGCTCGGCTCAGCCCTTTGCGGTGCAGCATGGAATATGGATGCATTGATCATTGGACGAGTCCTTGCAGGAGTGGGAGGTATTGGAGTGTATACCGGAATCATGACATTCTTGACGTCTCTGACAACCGAGAAAGAAAAACCTGTGTACTTGGGAGTCATGTAGGTGAAGATTCGTTCTGCAATTTACCACTTTGATTTTGCTCACATATGTACATAGCGGACTTTTCTGGAGCATCGGTCGAGTCATCGGTCCACTCTTTGGGGGTGTACTAGGTAGAGACTCATGGCGATGGGCGTTTTACATCAACCTGCTTGTCTGTGGCGCTTTCTCTCCAGTCTATATCTACCTCCTTCCAAGCTTGCCGTCAAAATCCAAAACAGCTCTACATGCACGACTACAGAACTTCGATTCCCTAGGGGCAGGTTTGAGCATTTGTACAATCATCACGTTGTTTACCAGCATCAACTCTGTTGGGACTCGCTTTCCATGGGGTAGCCCCTTGATGATCGGGATGTGCTCCTTGGCAGTCACATTCTTAGCATTATTCTCATCACAGCAATTGTTTTGCTTCAGAACGACGCCAGAAGATCGGATATTTCCTGTCAATATGATTTTCAACCGGCAAGTCTTACTGGTTTTCATAATCGGTTCAGCGAGTAGCATCGCAGCTTTCGTACCAGCGAACTTCATCTCCCTATATTTCCAATTCACAAGGGGAGATTCTGCATTGGATGCGGCACTCAGACTGCTACCTATGATTATTGCGATGTCTGCTGTAATGCCATTCTCTGGATATCTGATGCCCAAGATTGGTCATCTGGAATGGTGGCCCTTTGTGGGAACCCTGATTGCACTGCCAGGCTTTGTTTATATGGGTAAGTTTTCGTCAGTCGGTATAACCTTCACTTTTACTAACCTGCCGCAGTTGGTCTTCATGTTCAGTCATCACCGGCTTTAATTTACATTTCCGAAGCCTTGATAGGCGCAGGAATGGGAACTTATATGCAGATTCCATATACTCTGGTCGGACCATACATTCGCAAGGATCAAAAACAGGAGGCAATGAGCTTCGTGATCATCTGTAAGAAAGTCCGCTCTGCTCTGTCATGATCTCGTTGCTCATTAATTCTCTAGCTCAAGTTGGGGGAATTGCTTTCTCCATGTCAATTTCCACAGCAATCTTCACCAATTTGGCTACATCATGGCTGAAAGCCCAACTACCGGAGATGTCTTCATCCAGTATAGAGAGACTGTTATCGGGAACAAGCAGGTCACTTGATGGTTTCTCATCGTCGAACCTGGGCGATGTTCTAGATATCCTTGTGGATGCCATGCAGCCTGCGTAAGTTCATTCTGTTTTGCGATAGAATTACAATATGCTAATATTTGTAGATGGATTATCACTCTCGCGGCTGCAATTGCGGTTATTTTGGCGGCAGCGACGCTGATTTACCAGTCAATCGCAAGAAGTAGAGGTTCTGTAAAATAATAACGTTTGAAGACGATGGCAAGACCACTCTTCAGATATTCTAGATTTAATAACAAATGTACCGACCACAAGCCACAAATTAGGATGACGGCGGGAGAGGTGAAGTTTGAATAGAGGAAATGCAACTGCTAAGCGAACCCGCCGGAGGGTCTTTTCAAGGCAACGTCAACACTACCTGAGACTTTTCGTTCCGAAAAGCGCATACAGCCAATCTATAACCTCCGAATAAATCACTAATTATCGGCTTCCTCATCACTGCAGAATGTTTATTCCGACAATCTATTAGGAGTAATATCACACGTGACGGGGCATTATCGGGTTATCCAGTCTCCCGAGCCCCGATCAACTAAAGTGGAACATCAGCACCTCATGCCCTCTCGAATTTCCCGCTCTTCGTCCAGTATACTATGTTCATATCCAGAAGATGAGTGTATGAATCAATCACTATCCTCTCCCACCGAGATTTGAGACGATGTCCCTCTCAACAAAAGCACGTTCGTTGCGGGGCATAGTTTCAAAACGCGTAGAATTTCTCTCCCCAACCCCAGCATCAAAATCAAAACGATGGAACAGCACATTCGAATCAAAACCATACAAGCCATCATCACCAAAATCTTCAAGTAAATCCTCGTCGTCCCCAGCATGGACGCCACTCACAGCCCTGGCTTTCGGTGGCGGCCTTGGCCTGGCGTGGGTGACGGGACGGGCGTATCAGAAAGCTCAACAGCTGAACATCGACTATGCCAGAGATGATAAGTTCAGACCTCCAAAGTATGGGAGTGTAAAAGATATGATGAAGGTATCTCTTACGCCGTCTCCTGTACTCTCTTTTTTTGGAGACATTCAATTACATGGAAAAGAGGAATCGAGATTGACCACGTGACAGGCCGTCCAAGAAATCGAAGCAGCTCTCGGCGCAGAAAGTATCAGCATGGAACCCTCAGATCTAAAACACCACGGCGAGTCTGAATGGTCGCCTTCTAATATCGATACTCTTCCCATTGCTGTCGCGTACCCCAAATCCACAGCTGAAGTCTCAACCCTCGCCAAGATATGTCATCAGTATAAAGTCCCCATAACAGGCTTCTCAGGCGGTAGTTCACTCGAAGGCAACTTCTCCGCGCCACATGGAGGCATCAGTGTAGACTTCATGCACATGGATAAAATCTTTGCTTTCCACGAAGATGATATGGATGTCGTTGTACAGCCAGCTGTTGGGTGGGTTCACCTCAACAAGGAGATCGCAAAGAGTGGACTTTTCTTTCCAGTGGATCCCAGTCCGAGTGCCAAAATCGGGGGAATGATAGGTACGAACTGTAGCGGGACTAATGCTGTGAGGTACGGAACTATGAAGGACTGGGTGCTGAATATGACCGTTGTTCTTGCTGATGGGCAGGTTATAAAGACGAGGGGTAGACCGAGAAAATCGGCTGCCGGGTATAACCTCAACGGTATCTTTGTGGGGTCAGAAGGTACGCTTGGGCTGGTCACGGAAGTCACTTTGAAGCTCGCAGCGGTGCCGAAAGAGTTCAATGTTGCTGTGGTGGCGTTTCCAACAGTCAGGGATGCGGCAGCCACCGCGACTGCAGTGATGCGAGCGGGCGTTCCAGTGGCGGCAATGGAGTTTCTCGATGAGAAAATGATGGAAGTTTTGAATGCAGGAGGTCACACAGCACCAAAAACCTGGAAAGAGGCACCAACGCTATTCTTCAAGTTCTCAGGTACGAAAGGAAGTATTGCCGACAATATCAAGGAAGTCCAATCGATATCAAAGGCACATAATGGAGGTGGATTTCAATTCGCCAAAGATCACAAAGAGCAGGATCTTATTTGGTCGGGTAGAAAGCAGGCTTTATGGAGCTTACTGGCTGCTAGGCCGGAGGGTACACAGCTATGGACAACGGATATTGCTGTGCCAGTGTCAAGACTGGCTGATATCATTGGTATGACACTCGCATCTGAATAGTTCTGACACCACGAGGGAAGATAGTTTGCTGATCGAAAACAGAGGAATCAAGAAAAGGCCGGGAAGAACTCGGCCTCTTCTCATCAGTCGTCGGCCATCTCGGCGATGGAAACTTCCACGAAGCCATAATGTATCACCGCGAAGACGCCGAGGAGACGGCTGCCGTCGATGACCATGTCAAAAACATGATCACTAAAGCCCTTGAGATGGAGGGCACATCCACTGTACGATTCCACCATTTTCAACGATTCTTGAATTCCTCACCTATTACTTTCCAAATATTGCAGATGGGCTAACTGATGCGTGATTACAGGGTGAACATTCCATCGGCCTCTTCAAAAAACACGAACTCCTTCAAGAAGTCGGACCTGAGACCCTCGGTGTAATGAAAAGTATCAAGCAAGCTCTCGACCCGCACTGGCTCATGAATCCTGGCAAGATCTTTGATACGCCGGTATTTCATGGCCGGGTATGGAAATGGCAGAAGTAAGCTTGGCACGGAAGCCTGTACGATATATACAAGACCAAAACCTCTGTTTTTGTACTACTTGTACTTGTACAACATCCAATAATTCTGGGGGAACTCCCAGCTGTTGGGGATAGGGATTCGCGAGGGGAACGAAAGTCATTCTTTGTCCTTGATCTCACCCTTCACAATCTCCAACAATCTCTCACCGATCCAACTCCCCTCCGTCCCAATCCCATACACATAACTAACATGATTCTCACCCCACACCATCTCTACATCCAATCCCTCAACCCATTCTCGGTCTCATCTCCATCCCCCTCTTCTTTACCAAAAACCTCCTCCCACGCCGCCTCACACCCCTCCGTCCCCTTCACAATCTCATCAAACTCCCATTCCCCCAAAAAGAACTTCATTTTCGGGCCCTTCCATCCCACTTCATCCCCCGCCTTTGCCTTCAAAGCTGCTTCCCTAAAAAGCGCAACAGGCATCTCCCTCCTGATTCTCGCTTTATCCTTTGTGCGGTGATACTTAGGCATATTGATGCTTGTCGGCGGATTATCGACGTCGTACCAGAGACCGGCGGAAAGGAAGATGAATGTCGAGTTGTTGATTATTTGGTCCCACTCTTCTTTCTGAGGCCCGCTCTTGTCCTCTTTCAGACTTAGACTTGGGTCTTCAGCTAAGTAGCCTCCCCATAGCGCGGTGCCGATACAACTACCTCCCGCGGAATGTCCTATGATTGTTAGAGATGTAGCCGGACAGCCGCCATATTTGGGACTATTTGAGATAGCCCAGGAGATGGCGAGAGAGGCGTCTATTGCGCCGGAGGGGTGAGAGGCTTCTGGAAGGAGGCGGTAGGTTGCGCTGATGAGGATGGTGGAGTTGTTGGCGAAGAAATTGCCTGGGGAGGGTATCAGAGAGCTGTTTCTTTCTCCAATATACTTTCCGGGATTCGAAAACAAACCCAGCTCAGATGGAAAACTTCTGGAAAATAGGAGACGAGGGTAGATTACCAATGTTCGAGTGGAAAGTCGGCGTCACGTCTGTATCCCCAAATACCATTCCCCCACCGTGAAAGAAAACCACAACGGGGGTTTACTCTCAGGTGTTGCACCTTTTGGGTAGTAAATCTGTATTCCATTTATATCAGCATCTAACTCATATCAAATCCCCTCCGCCTCTGACCTAGCCAAATCGAGTTCCCACTTTGATTGAGAACATTGCTTCACTCACATCCAACCTCTGCCTCTCCTCCTCCCCATACGTGATGCCCTTCTCCACACTGACACCCGAATAATCATTCCCCTCAATCTCATGTATATTAGTGATCAAATCCACCATCTCGGCATTCGTCTCGCGGGTGAATTTCTTGCCCCATTTTTGGATCGAGGAAGCAAGTGAGGTGCAGGCTTCTTCTAACGCCATTTTAATAAATTTCTGGAGGGAAACGTTGATTCAAGTATGCACAATGTTGTGATAAGCGCAGAGTGGTGGAATATAAGGTGATATTATAGGTGGTGCGGGGGTCTGGGATGAGGCATGCAGGTGTTTGGTTGAAGTAAGTTTTCGCATGGAACGAGCCGAAGTCAGTAAAAAGTGGAGAAATATTGCAGAAGCGTGCAGGTGATCTATACGATAAAATCGACTTATTGCGTAGGAGGAGTCAGAAGATCCTGAGGCTCCTCGAATGATATCGTGGTCGAGATTGACGCCTCTCAGTGACTTGTCAAGTCAACAATGCTATGTGGGAATATGGCCACGGTGAGCGAAGCGTACTATGAGATGACCCTGCTTGAGGCTCTGGCCGCTTCATCATCAGCCCAGAAAAAGAAAGGTATATTCCAATGATCTGGAGGAGATCACAGAATGAGGGGAAAATCAATTGTCGTCGTGCACATCGATTATTACTTGAGGCGCTGTTGTTGACATCCATCACGTCTGGACGACCCAGCAGTCAAGTTTCGGCAGATCGTCGGCCCAGGGCAACTAGCTCCAAGCACCCACCTGAGGACGATGTCTTTTAACCCTCTCTCACCATCCACCTCATCCGCCTCATCCACAAGAGACATCGCAGCCATGGCGGTCCCCTCTCCGACCTTCAAATCCACTGCCCTTCGAATCCTCTGCCGCTCGAATACTTATATGTCCTCATCCGACCCAGGCGCTCAGTTGCAGCCAACCACAGTCTCCTCCCACTGCTCTACACCCGTCACTCTCCACAATGACAGTGTCGTCAGGATCACTCCCTGCCGGAGCAGACAAAGACCGTAACCCTCGTGGCTTCCAGCACGGCACGTCCTATCGAGCTACAACTGCGAAATTTCTCGGTGCGAGAACTCCATCGACGTGTCGAGCTTCATCGACGGAAACTTAAGAGTATGCTGGGTATTAGCAAGACCTCATTGAGCGGCACGACAACCCGAATGCCGCACCGCGAAGACGACTTCTGCCGCCGCTTAAAAGAAGATATCAAGGGGTAGCTTCGCGGATGGAAGTATGGAGAGTATGTTGAAGTCGTGGTTCAGCACCCTTAAAGGACGCAGCTTGTTGACCTTATCTGCACTCGTGTGACGGATGTCACTATCTAGGATATTGTCAGCTACTGCATTAAGACTATCGAGCTGATTCAGCCTCTGTGCAGCCATAGCGAAGTCGCCTTGCGCTACCGACTTCCTATTGCCTTGCCTTTACAACCCTTATTGCAAAGAAGAGTCTTCTGAAGTCAGACCTCCGGCTGCTATCTTTTCCCTGTCTGCAGCACGATGCAGTGCCTGATCTATATCAGAGACAAGTCGTGGAGCTACAAAGAACAGAGATGTTTTGCCAGCCTGCAAAGATTGTAAGGCCATATTAAATGCAGTTACCTTAAAATGAAACATCCACGAGCCAAGAAAGAGTGTCATTACCCTACGTATAACAACCAGCGGCTAGGTCTCGAGTACTTAAAGCATCTCAAAAACCATATGCAGTCTGTGCACGGCATCAAGCCTCGCGAGTCAAGTCTTTCGGGCATAACCAAATAGACTGTGTGCCATTTCATCTCAGTTGTAATTTCTTACATTGCTATCTCTAGTCACTACTGGTTTCATTCTTCTGACCTTATGGGTGACTTTATGCTATGTTTCCGGCAAGAACTTACGCTTATTGCCTGACGCTATCAACAAAGAGGGAGGACGAGGCAGTTGTTATCTTGATTGTTTTCATTTTCGCAGGAGTACCTTCAACCTTTAATCTTCCCGTCGGTCCTGCTAATTCTACTACCAAGTCAAAGTTGTCTAAATTAATACAGATCCCCAAAAGCTACCCGAGCAGTTCCGCAGATGAGCCTCCGAGGCGACTGATACCCTTAAGTTGTTTGCTGATCGCATCTGTGACACAGACAGATTTGTTAGGATCAACGTGGGAGACTCAACGAAAGCGGTGGCAGTTACCACTGTTCAAGCCGTCAAAATCTGTCCACAGCTATGGTAGGCAGCAACGCGGCTGCATGATTGTGCTACCGCCCATTATCCATTCCTTCCGCCACCTCAGTGTGTTGAGCCTCTTCTGCATCTGCTGCCGAGCCTTGCGTTGAACTTAAATAAAAGATAATCACATTGTTGCGCCGCCGAAGACAACAATGATATCATGGGAATAAATAATTCACCTATGATATGAGCATCTCAAGTTGTACCATTGCCATTTCCTGTATGGCCAGAAATAGCAATGACGCGTACTGGGTGCAGATGTCTCTGAGCGGAGGTCTAGCCTTAGATCTTAAAGCCCAGCTGCAGCCACATACCTAAAGATCAGTGACAGCTGTATCAAGTTCGGCTTAGCGCGTCGATCACAGGTATCGTGGCTTAAGCAGGTAACATCTCATATTGAACCCCCACCTCTACAGCACGTCAGGCTTTGACGCAGAGTAGCAGAAGTAGTTGCAGCCAATGTAGTTGATAGTTTTCTCGTTCTTAGCAAAACGGGAACAAACGGCCGTTCGTTTACGCTAACCCTAAACAGACTAGCGTTTGTTTAAGCGACTTAAAACAGCTGTTAGTTAGTTAGATTTCTAACAGAATAAGGTCGTTTAACTCTGTTTTAGTATAGTTCCCGCTAAGCCTTATATAAGTAGTACTATACTACCTCTTTTAATAACCTTTAAGGGAAAGTTAGATATCTAAGTATTAAACTTTATGAATCTTTAGTATAAATATATAAAAATAATATTAAATTTAAGCTATAACGTAGATCTTTTATTTAACGTATTATTTGTTATTTTCTACTAAGTAGTTATTAAGAAAAAAAGGGTTAAAGTTAAGTTACTCTTAACGTGATTTTTATAAGGAAACTTTATCTTTAAAACTATTAAAATACCTCTCTTAACTTAATATCGACTTATAAATAATACTAATAACTACTCTAGAGGCTCTTTAACTCTTAGGAGATATAGAAATTATTAAGTATATCTTAATTTCGCTCCGTTACTTATAAAAGCTAATATTACACCTTTAATTCTTATTAATTTAGACTTAATAACCTATAAAGCACTTTTTAAGCCTCTTAGTCCTTAAAAGCTTTTAGTATATAGAACTAAACGCTAAGTATAGATATTTCAGTATATACTAAGTAAGAATATTAATAAAAGATACTATAATAAAGCTACTAGTAAAGAGATATAGCGTTATACTAGCTATTATTTAAAGGTTTACTATATAAATAGTAGTATATAATCTGCGGAAAAGTATTTAGCTACTTATGGATTAAAGAAAGGTGATCCCTAAAGAACTACTATTACCTATAGTAATTTTATACGCTAGTAACCTCTTTTTATTAGTTTCAAACGTCAGGTTGAAATAAGAGATAAGTATTAATTTAAGTGTTAAAATATAAGAGTAAGTGATAATAACTCTATTAACCTAAATAAGCTAGAGCTTTTTTATATTAAGTAATATAAGTATTCTTACTTGTTTTTAACACTAACTTTCTATAGATTTATCTTTGTTTACTCTTAACTTTTATAGCTAGTTAAAAGACTAAAATTCCGCGAACTCCTTAAATACCTTAACTCTAATATTATATACTAGTTACTACGCTCTTACTTTATAATTAGTATATAAGTAAAATAATAATTCAAGGCTTATAAGAGTAAGGTTAGAAATAATATTAAAAACGCGCTCTTAAAGATGTACGTCTCTTATAATATATAGACTTTAATAAATAACCTCCTTATACTTACGATTATCTTTTATTACGTTAGAACTAATAGAAAAGTAAAAATAAGAGAGGTCTCTAGTAATAAGATAAGAGAGAACCTAGCTTTTATAGTAATAGAGGTAATTAAGGAATAAGAGGTTCAGAGGAAATTAGGGTATTTTATAATAGATAACATAACAGATAACAACGTTATAATAAAGTACCTTACTTTTAGTAAGTTTACTACTTTCTTTATAGCTTTTACTAATAATTTAAGTAAGATTTCTATAAGTTCTTTAGTATTTAATACGACTTTATTATATATAGATTACGTTATACTAGCTATATTATTAACCTCTCTATAAAAGCCTTCCTCTTTATTACTAACGATAAAATAATCGAATCTGTAGAGGATGAAATAATAATAAACTAATAGCTGTAATAAACTATAGAAGAGATAAGGGAATAGTGTTAAAAAAACCTCTTAAGAAGCTTTATAATTTTATTGTTTTTATATAATATAGCACCTTATAGCTTTAAAAGTTCCTTACTTTATCTAGAAATCGTTACTTTTATAGAGATAACTCTATACGATAAAATTCTTAGTTTATAATACTTAAGGTTACTCTATTATTATAAGAGGTAATTAAAGAATATTTTATAAGCTATAAAGAGATAAATGTAACGTTTCTAACTCGGTCGGTGTCGTGAGTACAGACTCGTCGGTTGGTATCAGCTATGAAGTAAGGTAACAAGACGCTCGATTCTTAATAGGAATTGAGACGTTATAAGCAGTGGTAAACTAAGTGTAAACTTACTATTTGATTTAAGCACGAAGCTCTACTATCTAGGAAACTACCTACTTGTTATATAGAACTTCTAACTTCCTATGTAAGCTATATAAGATATCTTATAAGGCGCGCAAGCCTGTAAGCTTATCTAGTAAGCTAGCACATCACGTGACCTATGTCCACTGTGATTAATATAACTATTATTATAACAATGAGCGTAGAGTATAGTACTACTCGCTAATTCGTACTATTCTCTTGTTTAGTACTATTCTCTTAATAGTACTATTAACCCTTTGGTACCAAACACCGACTAGTGCTATCCACTTAGTAGTACCATTAGTATTATAGTGCCAACCCGTGACTTATACTAAGACTGAGCCTAGTTCGTGACACTATCCCCTTTTCAGCTTAGCGTGTCCTCACGCTTAAGTATGCCTAAGGAAATATTAACAACTGCCCACG